GTGAGGGAAACATCATTGATAGAGAAACATGTATAAACTCTATGACTGTGAGAGAAATGATCGTAAATATGACAAAAATTAAGAAGGGATGGAATAGTGTACACAGTTACATCCGAGCAATCATTAAAAAGAAACAAGAAGAAGAGAAACACCAGTCAAACCAACGATAGAGATAAAATCTCGATAAAAAAAGGAGTGCTTTGGAAGTGTCATTAGCCTTATGGCCATCCCACTTTCGGAGTACGGTAGGTGCAACAGTCAACTGCGAAGTGCTCACAAGTATGAGAGGGTGGTTTTAGTTAGTAGGCAGAATAACAGAAAGGGATCCGTTTTCAGGACGTCCTTCTAGGACGAAATAGGCTCAGATTGACCCCTCTTTCTTAAATTCAACTTCTTCTTCTTCAGTGCCTTATCCGGTCCAAATGTTGGCGATCATCAAGGCTATCATGGTTTTGTTGACTGCTCTACGAAACAGTTCCGCTGAGGTCATCCCAAACCATTGTCGAAGATTTTTCAACCACGAGATACGACGGCGTCCCGATCCTCTTCTGCCAAATACTTTACCCTGCATAGCGAGTTGAAGAATTCAATATTTTTCTTCGTTCCGCATCACGTGGCCGAGGTAATCAAGCTTTCGTTGTTAAATTAAATTAAGCACTTCTTTTTCTTTTGTCATGCGCTGTAGGACCTCAACGTTGGTGACATGGTCCACATAAGATATTTTTAGTATCCTTCTGTATATACACATCTCGAAGGCTTTGATTCGCTTATCAATGGCTTGCGTCAGTGTCCAGGCTTCAACTCCATATAGTAACACTGAAAGAACGTAGCACCTCACTATACGCATCTTGTTTCCCAAACTGAGATCACTGCAGCACAGCAAGGATCTCAACTTAATAAATGTAGACCGTGCCATTTCAATTCTGGATCTAATCTCTTGAGCGTAGTCCAATTGTACGTTGAGGGTAATTCCGAGGTAAGTGAATTTGTCGACTCTCTGGATCTCTTCGCTACCTGCCATTAGTGCCATGGGATCTAAATTTGTGCGGCTGACAACCATGAATTTAGTTTTCTTAATATTGAGGTTCAGTCCGTATGTTACGCTCACAGTTCGCACTCGGTCTAGTAAGGCCTGCAGATCGTTTAGGCTGGTTGTTAGTAACACAGTGTCATCGGCATAGCGGATATTATTGATGTATTCACCGTTCACTCAGATTCCCATGTCTAGGTTTGTCAGGGCTTCATTAAAAATCTCCTCGAGGTATATATTGAAAAGAGTCGGCGATAGCACACATCCTTGCCTTACTCCTCGCATGATCTTCACTTGGTCGATCAGCTGGTTTTCGACCTTGACTTGAGCACGCTAATTCTTTTATAAATCTATGATGATCCGAATGTCCTTCTCATCCAATCCTACTCTTTGTAGTGCGGTGACCATCTTCTGGTACTGACAACGGTCAAATGGCTTGGCGTGGTCAATAAAACAAATATAGACATCCCAACTGACATCGCGGCATCTCTGAAGTAGGACTTGTAAGGTGAAAAGTGCTTCACGTGTACCCATGGAATTGCGGAATCCGAATTGCATTTCACCGACATTTTCTTTGCATTTCTTGTAAATTCTGGCATGTATGATTTTAAGAAAAATTTTAAGTGCATGACTCATAAGATTGATAGTTCGAAAATCTTCGCAACTTCTTAAATTCAACACACACAAGATATTCCTAAAGATGGGTTAAGTCACACTAATATAAAAAAAGACCAACGTTAGAATATCACAATACATCATTTGAGACCTTACAAAGGTAGAAGCTGGAGAGAGAGATCACAGACGAGATGAATAGATGACATAAAAAGAATAATTGAATTGAAATGAGGTTGAATGCTCGAATAAATGAACTTTGAAAAATAAGGCTATTATCGAGCACAAGTTAAATCTAGCCCAAGTACTTTCGCTTAAAATAGCATCTTCAGGGGCATTTCGTCAAAATGTAAACTATCCGGCAAGCGTAGAATGTGGAAACATTAATAATGATATTAAATTGTACAAAACACTACACTAAAACGAGGACAAACAGTTTAAAAAGAAAAAAAAAATAAAAAGAATAGCCGGATTAAATTGAAAGTATGTTGCTCGGTATGGAGACCGGTAGAAGAAGTTAGGAGACTCCTATGTCTAAAAAGGGACGATAGAAGGCTAAGAAGAAGAACATTATATGGTTGCTAATCATTATAAAGGATGTAAAACTTTTAAGTAGATATACTTCATGGCAATGTTAATTCCCAACGAGGGTTACTGGTTCAGAAACGCAGTCTCTAAATGGACTTTGGGTCTATAACTGTTAAAAGATTGTCGAATTGAAAAAACAAAAAGAGTGCATTAAATATAAAGGGATTCAAAATCAGACCAAGGGAGAAAATAGAACTAACAATGACCAAAATGAAAAATCTAAAAGTACCAGGACGGAATAATATTATTATTAAGCTACATAAATACGGTAGTGTCACATTAAAAAACAAAGTACACACTTTATTTAACAAGATATATCAAATGACAAAGGTATCAGAAAAGTGGAAACATGATGTAACATGATGAATCCCAGCCTTCAAAAAAAGAAAAAAATAGACCCACAAAAATAGATTTTAGCGAAAGAAGTGGTAAAGAATGGCATTAATAATTAACAGTAAGGATAACAAAATAATATATCCACCATAGATGCTATTAAATATAATAAAGTTGCTTTAACGTGCTTCATTGATCTTACGTGAGCTCTTGACAGATAGCATAAGATTTGTCGATGTTCTGAAACTATTAAAGGAAAGAAATATAAACCAAAAAATAATTGAAACTATTTGACAGTCGCACAGTGGAAAAAACACTTTTATAAAAGCAAATAATAAGCTACCAACAAGAGACCAGTCTCAACAAGAATTAGACAAGGGCATAGTCTCAGCTCAGTCTTTATGTATCATAGCATTAAAGAAGTGAAAACCGCGGAAAGATGTTACAAAATTGTTAATTCAGAATTTAAAATATTTTGCTATGTTCATACTGCGGTGAAAAAATCTGACGATAAGGACAATCTACAGAGAGTACTATACAGGTTGGAAATTTATCCATTTATAATAATAGTGTGCAGCAAGTAATATTCTTCAAATATACAGGCAGTGAAAGCAAAATCCGAATTTTCAAAACCTGTTATGACCCACATAACACAAACGTAAGTAGAATCAACTACTATGAAACAACTACTAAGAACGACAGAAATATAGTCTTTCAGATCAATTACTGGTAAAACATGCAAAGATAGAGTGAGAAGCGACGATATCAGGACCATCTGTATATCCAAAACGTTTTAAAATGGTCTAAATGAAATCAGACAAAGAGGATAAATAAAACGTCATCATCATCGTCAAACTGTATGCATCCACTGCTGGACATAGGTCTTCCTAATTGTTTCCATCTATCTCTGTCTTGTGCGGCTTGCATCCGTTTATAGCTAACGTGCTTCAGTTCGTCAGTCCATCTGGTTAGTGTGCGTCTTCTACTCCGTATTGCTTCTTTCCTAGGTCTCCACTCTAAAATACGTTTTGTCCGTCGGTTCTCTGATAATCCGGCAACGTATCCTGCTCAATTTCATTTTAATGATGCAATTTTTTTGATAGCATCTGTTGTTTTTGTTCTACGACGTATTTCTTCGGTTGCGGTCTCTCAGAGAACAGCCTCTCTGGCGCTCCATAGCCATCTGAGTCAATCTTATTAACTACCTTTTTTGTGGGTGTTAATATTTCGGCTCCATAAGTAAGTACAGGTAATACACATCGGTCAAAAATTTTCCTTTTGAGGCATATGGGTAGTTCCGATTTAAATACATAGATTAATTTACCAAACGCTGCCCAGGCTAATCCTATGCGACGTTGGAGCTCACGTCTGGTTATCTCTGCCCAACCAAATTCTATGTTCTAGGTACTTATACAATGTAGTCTGTACAATATCGCTTTTATCAACAGAAATATTTTGATTTAGTACCAGATTTGTCATTATTTGCGTCATGTTCATATTAATCTTTAGTCCGACATCCAAAGAAGCAAGATTATAATTTTTCAAATATTATTATTCCATCATTCATACGATCGGCTATAAGGATGATGTCATCTGCAGATCTCAAATGACTGAGCTTCTCTCCATTTATGCTGATACCATGCTCGATCAGATGTGTCTTGTTACAAGTATGTTCTAAAAGTGTCATGAATAGCTTTGGAGAGACTGTGTCTCCTTGCCGTACTCCTCGCTGTATACAGAATTTATTTGTTTCTTGGTCAGATAGTCTTACGCTAGCTGTGGCATTTTGGTAGATATATTTGATTACGTTAGTGTAACGGTGATCTATTCGGTATTTTGTCAGTGCTTTTAACATTTTCTGATGGCTTATGGTATCGAATGCTTTCTCGTAGTCAACAAATATTAGTGCCAATAGTTTGTTGTATTCTGCAGACTGCTCCATCAGGTTCTTTTTAACTGGTAAGTGGTCGTTAGTGCTGTATCCCGATTTAAATCCAGCTTGTTCTCTAAGCTGATAGAAGTCTAATTTATCTTATCTAATGAATAGAACACATTGACAGAAATAATTAAAAAGATTGCAAAGCAAGAAAAACCTAACACCAGCAAACCACCCAGAATAACAACCTAATGTCAATATTAAAGTTGGATATTGGAATGCCAACTTTAAAATTTTGAAAAAGAAAACAAAATAATATATTGTCTTAAAATACGAATTACAAAAAGAAGATTTGCAGTCAAAACATGTTCTTAGCCTGCATGAAAAAATCTTGAGGTCCAAAACTCAACGATAAATAATTAAAACAAAATTATATGAAAAAAAAGTTAGTAAAGTACAGTTTGCTGTGTTAATTTAAGTCTTATTTTTCACTTAACATCTTTTCCATAAGTTAGTTCTAGTGGTAAAATCGGTAAAATAGACATTCTTATCAATAATTACCTGAAAATTTTGCCAAGATCTTTTTTGTACTATAGGTGGAGATGAATATATATTGTGCTCTAGAACGGTTGGGATGCTTCTTTTCAGTCCCCAACCACCATGTAAGCTACTCCAAGCTCGTTTATTATAGGCATTAGAATTATCGTTCCAGTCATCTCTTTGAACTTCATTATCCACCTGAAAAAGAAAACAAGACTATTTTTATTAAAGAACAAAAAAAATGTGATAATATATATTTCTGAACACCAGCTGCTTGTTTAATATTTTAATGCATATTAAACCTGTCGTATTTTTATTCCAACAACTCTATCTCTTCACACTGCAACTTAAACCAATTTTCTTTGGCCGTTTGTATTTCGGTTACCTTACAACCATTTACAAATTTTCGATAACGACTCATTAATATTGCATCTTGCCAAACGATTACCAGGTTACTGCGGATACAAACTATATTTTTATATTTTTTAATTTTACAGAAGTTCTTAAGATAAAGGCATTTTTGATTCCGATACTATAAGATCTTATCATTAATGTAAAATTAATCTTAAAACAGAGGATGCCCTGAAAAAATTGGCAGAGGAACATGCAAATGCAGAGATAAAACCTACTAATTCTAAAGCTTCAAATTTTGCTGCTATTGACAAAGCAACGCAATACGAAAATAAACAAAGATCTCGTATTATACATTAACAGATCTGCAATTATTAGATTGTAGAAGGAAAGCATTAGCTGCATCGATAAAGGCAACTATTTATTTGCCTTATATCGAACTTTTATTCTATCAAGAAAGTGAAGTCTACACAGTATTTTTTATTTCAATATTGCAATCTATAATTCATAGTTAAAATACTGCAGAAACCCACATATTTCAGACAGTTTTATAAGACGAAAAGCTTTATTAGAAATTAAATTTAACATTACTGAAGCACTATTAACGTGTTTTTGAAAGGTAAGTTAGGTTAGCCTTAATATAAATGGGGACTTAATTATAGAATCCTTCTTCTCGTATTAGGAGGTTTATTGTGGCTTATCTCTATTTTAACGTTGTCTCTTTAGTCCAGCCTTTTTAAGTTGCACAAAACGCGTTCCGCCGTCTTCTCATTAGCCTGAGAGGATCTGCAATTTGCAGATCATTTTTAAAGGTACAAGAAAAGGTACCCAAAATTACAATCTCTCGTTTTGTACCTCCTGATGAAATTCGCAAACACCCAAAAGGCGAAAACAGTTGGAACTAGGTCAAGACTTAAACATTATTGCTCATTTTGCCAGCCTTGTTGATGGTCACGAAGATAGACGTAAACTTGAATTCGGCACAGTATGAAAAAACGTCAAGTTTTCGTATGTTACAATAAAAAAAATTAACTGCTTTAAAAAACATCCTGTAAAATAAATTGTTTCATAGATATAAAATAGTGGTGGCAATTACTACATCAGTTTATGACACTTTAACGGTGAAAGATTTTTTTTTAATACCAGTTTGTATTTGCACGAATATGTTTACAAAAATGCTCAAAATAACTTTATTTAAGTTAAATTCAAAAAAAGGTTTGAAAGAATTAAATCCATTTTTATAAAGGACTCTAAAATAATTATAACTCGACAATTATTGGTAGTGGATATTAAATTTTAAAGTAAAAACGTATAATCTAAATGGAAAAGCGTAATGGCTAATAAAACTTAAAACAGGAAAATTCAGTGAGCAAACTAATCCAAATCCTTTTTAAAATTTAAATATTTTTAAAAAGGCAACGGAATAATACATACTTCTAAAAAAATTAAAATTTCACATTTTGAACCAAAAATAGTTTTAGAAGAGGTGTTAGTTTGATATAATTTCGTTTATTTTTAATAAGGAAACGTTAACAGGAAAATTAAATGAGCTAGATTAAAGTGTAGGAAAATGTGTCTTTGTTTTTCGTGTAATTAATCGTAGATCGATAATCTGCAATTTAAACTTTAACCAACTTTAAAACCAGTTCAACAAAAGTGTCATTAATTATGTTTCCAATAATCCAAACAGTAAAAGTTTTTATACTATGTATTAAGAATTATAACAGTAATAACAAATTAAGGCAATTAAAATCAAAAATCTTCTGCATACATCAAGAAATACTTGATAAAATCACTTACGTTGAGAAGTACAACAACAATATACTAGAACAGACTGGTTAGTGAATTAAAAACATTAACAAATTCAAATATCAAGTCGAAGTATGCTGGAAAAAAATTAAAAATTGCATGCAAAAAGTTTCAAGAGAAACCATAAGAGAACTGAAAAAAACTCATAAGAAAGGCTGATTTTCGTTTTGCCAAGATATTAAAGAACTTCTAGAATAAAAAAAAGATAAGTGTTATACAAAACTGCCAGTACGCAGGAGCGACGTGCCATCTATATAGAAATAAGAAACAGAATAAACTCGTGAATAGATTTAATAAAAATACAACATTGGATTAAGTTCACAAGTCACCTGGATAACGACTTCTACCATGTACAAAGAAAAGTATGGAAGATTCTACAAGTCAGGGAAAAAACAGTAAATGAAATTAAACGGACAAAGCTGTTATACCTGCGGACCAATGAGCAATCGTACGTCATCCTACGTTAAGCTGTTTGGCAGTTACAAGCTTAGCACCTATATGGCAATGTCTTTGCGTTTTATTTTTATCGTGACATATTTGTTACCACCTCTTCTTTCCATCGATACCTAATACGTTGTTGTACATTGAGCTGTTTGGACGTTGCAAGCTTAGTGACCTTCAGGCATTATCTTTTGCGTTTTGTTTTTATCTTAACATATTCGTTACCACCTCCCCTTTCCAGCGATACCTCACATGTTGTTGTACCTTGAGCTGTTTGGCTGTTGCAAGCTTAGTGTCCTTCTGGCATTGTCTTTTGCGTTTGTTTTTTTGTTGTGGATCGACTACGTTACTGCGAGGGACAAATCACCAAAAGGTAGAAGAAGTATCGGGCGACCACGCAAAAGATGGAGTGATAACCTCCAATAGAGGCATTAATCGACATTGAACAAGCATTTTGCTTATAAAAAAGAAGAAGAAGAAGAAAAGAAGATACTCGTTACCACCTCCCCTTTCCAGCGATACCTCACACGTTGTTGTACGTTGAGCTGTTTGGACGTTGCAAGCTTAGTGTCCTTCTGGCATTGTCTTTTGTGTTTGTTTTTTTGTTGTGGATCGACTACGTTACTGGTTTGCCAATAACATAATAATTTTACCATTGTAATTTTTTTATATGTATAACTAAATATACTAGCGATTAAACGCTTTTTTATTTAAAACATCTTTATTGATCGAGTCTTATATTACATGAAGATTCAAATTTTCTCCTTAAAATTTCAAAAATAATTTTTACAATTAAGATAAATACAGATGCTAATATTATACAGGACATTGCAAAGACATTGTCTATTTCACTTTTCATATACTCGCTGGTGTTGTTGTTGCCACCCGTGGTGTTGTTGCTGACAAACATGGTGTTGGTTGAATACGTCTTAATGGATATGTAGCTGGTGGCAGTTTTCTACAGGCGTAAATCCAGGTGTCTTGCTGCTGCTGCTGTAAATTCAACTCTTCGGGTTTCCAAGTTTTGTTGTTGTCAAAATGCAGGCTATCTAACTGTCTTGTAATTTGTTTAAAATCCTCATATGATTTAATGTCTTTCTTTAACTGATCAAGTTTTCCTTGAAATTCTACTACTCTATAAATGCACTCGATGGGTTTCATATTACTACTGAATATATTCTACGTAGAATGTCTAGCGACGTCTTGACTGACACATAACTGTCACGTCCTGCGTCGAATGTCACGTTATTCACGCAACATTTTACGTTCTGTGTCGAATGTCACATAACTGTAATGTACTGTGTCGAATGTCACGTCATTTCACGTGACATTTTACGTTCTGTGTGAAATGTCACATAACTGTCACATCCTGCGTCGAATGTCACGTCATTTCACGTGACATTTCACGTTCTGTGTCGAATGTCACGTCTTACGTCGACGTTTTCTCTTAGGTACTGTACGGAAAAGAAAAAGAAGAAGAATTTTCGAGAGTTGACATGACTTCTGTGTGTGTTACCAACGCTTTCATTTGAGACCTCACAAAATCAGGCCAATAGCAACGAAGATACGCTTTAGCGCCCATTTGGCAATGCCGCCGTCTTTGATTTTTGTCTCAACGTATTTCCCGCCTTTTCTCCGTTCCAACGAGCCCTCGTACGTCACGATCGGACCGATAGAAACGAAGATATCCAATAATGCCCTTTCGGCATGCTCCGATGCGCATGGCACATACTGCGTTCAACCCCATTTTTCATCCCCTTTTCAACGAGCCCTCGTACGTCATCCTACGTTAAGCTGTTAGGAACTTACGACCGGGGGTTGCGATTTTAGGGGTTGGGATTTAGGGGTTGTGCCCTAAATGGCAAGGTTTGTTTATCTACTAGAGCAGAATGACGTACCCGCTACGTCAGTATATACAGCATACACAACATATTACTTTATTTATATTTTGGCTATGACTAGGAGCAGGATTATCACAAAAAAAGTATGACAGCTTCGCAGACAATGTACCTTGCAGTAAAGAATCATCTCGGTGTGAGATCATCCCGTCTGAAAAAAAATAAGGAATTTCTGAGTCCTCTATTGCAAAATATGCCAATAAAAATGAAAGAATTTTGGGCTAATACCTACAGGATAGCTAAATTTGGAAGTAAGTAAAAACGATAGTTTATATAGGCTACTTACCAAAAGGTTTAGCCCAGGAAAGAGAGGCCACCGTGATTGTCAGTAAAACCTATATATTTCCATAGTAAATAGTCTGTATTTTTGTTTACAGGCTGCAAAAGATCGCTTACGATTATACCAAAAATAACACAAAAATTGACCAAAGTAATGGAATGAGAACAAATTGACGGAGAAATCGTGATTGCGACACTTTCGTAAAAGGTTCCTGTCCCTTTTCTTTTGAAGCCCTGAACCCAAAAGTCTCGCAAAGACAACTTCATTTATCAAGCACTTCGTATAATCATGTTACAGTAACTGGACACAGGCTTTTCACAGGGTCCTCTTAACGCCTTCTTTAATTTGGAACCTTCTAAATTATTATCAACAAAAGGTAACCGGCGAGTTGCTTTAATTATTTAAGCAGAATGGGGCACTAT